CATTCTCTAAATCTTCAAAAATCACTTTTGATGTTTGACTTTTACCCTGTGTATCTATAACTTTAACAAGTTCTGACTTTTACCCTGTGTATCTATAACTTTAACAAGTTCTGGCCGTCAATCTTTACCAATAGCCATAAAATTTACAAAATGGTCTTGATGAATGTTTGTCCAACCATCAGTTGCAATAGTAATCCATAAAGATTTATATAGAAATTTATTAATAGATGTTTGAATATTCATATGAACTTCATCAAGAACATTATATGAGAGCTTTCTTCTTGATGGAACATGATATAAATTATTTATAGAGTAAATAAACTCCTTAAATTTTTTCGCATCTACAAGAGAAAGAGATGCGCCACCTTCAATTATTCCTTCTAATAATAATTGGTTGGATTTATTTATATCATATGGTAACTGTTGATTACTTCTACCACAATTTGAAATCGACATAGAAGGCGTGGTGGATATTTCAGATTGTGAATCCCATGAATCATTTTGTTGCTAATAATTTTGAACATTAATAAGATAATCTCGAACTTCTGAAGGAACATCTGTACATTTTTTAATATATGAGCCCATTATTTGCACAGAGCTAGATATAGGTTTAGTGGGATTACAAAAAATACATTTGGCTTTAAGCCTTTTGTCAGTTTTAATGAGATAAAATGTCTGCCAAAGAGGGCCTAGTGGATGACTGATAGAACCAATTGGAAGCTCACGAAGCAAATATCGAATTTGTGGATGTGGTAAAGGCCAATTTGACATTGTATATAGGTATGTATATTTTAGCGTTAAAATAAACAATTAACAAAACTTATAAATTAGCCTTATATATCAACATACATGTCTTATTTTGTAATCGACATGACTCTTAAATTATGTAATAATATGTAATAATTTGTAAAAATACGTAAGGGTCAAATTTTACTTATCGATTACATAAATTATTACATTGCCCATCCCTAGGGTAGAGGGTGCTGTGCTTATTTTCCATACTTTACGGTAACTTTTTAGAAAACGTTAAAAATAAATTATTTTATTTTATTTTATTTAATAATTTGCATTAACAATGTAAATAATATAAATATCACTAATTCATCAATTTAGTATAGAGTACGAAGATCTTAAATTAAGATTCTTCAGTTTTTAATTTCCTGATGTTTATTATTATTAATAAAATAAAAAATATTTTTATTTTATTTTTGTCACATTCATCACAAGGTCATTTTTATGTAGAGTTACCTAGAATTTTTTATATAGAGTTATGCAAAATTTTTATGTAGATTTATAAATCCAATGTAGATTTTATATACTATTTATATAAATATATATCCCTTAATATATAGACTAACGCAGACAAATTTGCCTGCGTTTTTGCACTTTTTTAGCTCTGATTTACTTTTTTAAAATGCTAAAATAT